TTCTTTCTTTCTTTCTTTCTTTTTTTCCTCCTTCCCTCCCTGCCTGCCTCTGTCTCTCTTTCTCTCTGTAGATGAAGCAGATGCAGCAACTGGAACGAGAACGGGATGCTTTGTTGCAAGGCCTGGAAATGGTTAACCAGGTACGCGACTGGTTACAGTGCCACCTGCTGGAAGCTCAAAAACGCCAGAAGCACATGGGAGCCCAGGCGGTAAGTCAGGACGGGCGGCCTTTTTGTCTGCCACGATTGTGGTGGGTCATCAGGCACAAGCGGGGCATCGCAAGCAGGGCTCCAATAAAGAACACGTGATTGCTGGGCCAAGTGCGGCCTGATGCGGCTCTAAGGTGGATGATCGCCAACCTCCCTGTGAGTAATAACAAAAACACACAGAAATTGGCTTTGTACAAACACACCCTAAACATTGCAGGTTTTGCACTTCCTAAAAGCTTGTCTTTGTATTTACTTGTGGAGTCAGCAAACTCCTGATTGACTGCAATATGTCATACGGTCTAGTACAGGTAGTCCTCGACTTATGACTGCAATTGAGCCCAAAATTTATGTTGCTAAGTGAGACATTTGTCAAGTGAGCTTTGCCTCATTTTACTACCTTTCTTGCTCTGGCTGTTAAGTGAAGCACTGCAGTTCTTAAGTGCGTAATACGATTGTTAAATGACTCTGGCTCCCTTGATTGGCTTTGCCTGCCAGATGGTCCCAAAATGAGACTGCAACAACCGTCATAAATATGAACCAGTTGCCAAGCCTCCAAATGTTGATCACATGACTGTGAAGATGCTGCAATGGTTAAGTGGGGAAAACGGTCATAAGTTCCTTTTTTTTCAACTTTGAACAGCCACTACTAAACAAACAGTTGTAAGTTGAGGACTACCTGTATTCTGTATTCTCTAATCCCACCCCTTCAGGCCTACTGACCTTTCCAGAAGAAGTGAGTAAATTTTTCAAGCACAGGTTGACTTCCTGGATCTTGGCCAGCAGCAAGCAGCTCTGCTTAGAGTAAGACTCTCGACACTCATTCTGCAGTTGTGCAAAACAGAGCAACAAGTCTCAAAACTGGAAATCCCATGTGCATCCCAAACATTCCAGTTCAAGAAATAAGGAAAAAGAGAATTTTTGCAGTTAAGACGTCAACCGCGACAGGTAGTCCTCAAACCTACGACCGCAATTGAGTCCAAAATCTATGCTGTTGAGTGAGACATTTCTTAAGTGAGCATTTCCCCACTTTACGACCTTTCCTGCCATAGTTGTTAAGTGAACCGCTGCGATTGATAAATTAGTGACATGGCCGTTAAGCGAATCTGGTTTCCCCATTGACTTTGCTTCTCAGAAGGTCGCAAAAGGGGATCACATGACTTTGGGACGGACGTAAGTATGAACCAGTTGCCAAGCCTCTGAATTCCGATCAGATGATCATGGGGATGCTACAAAGGTCATTAAGTGTGAGAAATGGCCATAAGTCACTTGTTTCAGTGATGCTGTAACTTTGAATGGTCCCTAAATGAACTGTTGTAAGTCAAGGACTAGCTATCTGCCATGGAAGTCGGAAGACTTAGTTACATATAATTACTTGTGATTTAATTGCATATTCCCTTCCTGTTTTAATTTCGGATTCCACTTTGGCGCAGTTGCTTTCCCCCACAATAAGAAGCGACAATAAGATTAGGTATTCAGTAAAGGACTCTTAGCATAAATAACGCTGATAATACTTTAGTATAATAGTTTGCTTTAGGCAAATCGCATTAATGGTTTTCTACCTTTTAAAAAAATCACTTTATTTTTTATTTGGATTCGTTAGCCACCCAATGCTGTCCAGATGTATTATAACACTTCATTTATTCGTTTATGTATTCATCTAGCTGCGCGATCCTCGGAAGTTGTGTTTTTTTTTACTACCGGTTCGCAGAACAAAGGACAATCATCCCTACCAGTTCTGCCAAACTGCGCTGAACCGGGAGGATTTCACCCCTGCATCCCCCCTCCAACAAAAAATCCTAGGCGCAGTGTTTCTCAACCTTGGCAACTTGAAGATGTCCGGACTTCAACTCCCAGAATTCCCCAGCCAGCATTCGCTGG